GAAGGGGGTTGTGGGGGTTTTGTAGACGGGGCAGTACAGGATTTGTAGAAGGGGCAGGACAGAGGTTTTGTAGGAGGGGCGGGGCAGGACAAGGGTTTTGTAGGAGGGGCTGACAGCAGTTTTGCAAAGTTTACAAATTGTAAAAAAAAAAGAAATAAAACCTTTAACATTTTTTTACAGGTTTTTTGTTTTGTTTTTTGGGTGGGGGGGGGGGTGGGGTGCCAAGCACAGGATCCGCCCCGGGTGCCAAATGCTCTAGGTACGCCCCTGCTCCAACCATTTCAGCTACTCCTGACTCACTATTAGCTATCAACACCCAGTGTTGACAGTGTTAAAGCAGCAGGATACTGATAAACTCCTTACTACATTTGCAGCTGGAAATATGATTGATATGCATCGGTAATATGGAGACAATAAGTAGCTTACATGGTTAATAGGATCAACAAGCATTACATATTTAAATCTCCTTTCTGTAGAATGTGGGTCACTGACAGAATAGTCTCCATATGATATTTCTGATATGGAATCAGCTTGTTCAATTCCTTCTAGTATTGGTTGGAAGGAACAATCTTGTTTGGGCACCAGAAGAGATTCACCTTATTTTTGTGGAACCTTTTCTATCACTTTTTTTGGTAACACCAAGGCTTTTGTAAAAAGGGCCTCTGTTTTTTTTTTTATTGAGAAGAGTATGATGACACCAGGAAACGTGGACTTGGAAGTTCTGAGTAACGGATTTTATAACCCTTTGCGATACAGTTTAAGATCCATGGATTCAAAGTAGCCCTTTGCCATCTGTGATAGAATTGTTGCAAACCTCCCTTGGCGTGGCAGGTAACCATTCCCCTAATTGCCATTGGAGTGATACTAAAAACCTCTAGTTATTTAAATCTGCATAGGGTTTGGGATATTGCGCAAGTAACTATTTTTTTTGTTTTTTATTGTATGTATTGGGGTTGATGTATACTATGGTCATTGTCGCTACCCAGGATTGGGAGTTTGCGCGCAGAACATATCTTTGCATATTTGTGTTGCAAACTTCCGCCTACTCGTTTGGCGTCAGAACCTTCTGTTATTGTCTAGCCTCTTACTTTGGTTTTCATCAAACTTTGAATCTTTATTTTGTCTGCAAAAATTTTGGGATCTGTCCTGGTATCCCAAGGATCTGCGATTCTGAAACTGAAAGCTTTTAAAAACAGTTTTCAAACCAAATCTTGTTACTTGAGGGAGTGTTTTTTTTTAGTCTCAGACATTGGCTTTATGATGTCTTCCAAAGGTGTCCCATAAAGTTAGTGCCTTTCCAATAGTAACTTACACAAAGCTGTTTTAGAAGCCATGTCTGCCATCCAAGCTCTTACCAACAAAGCTCTTCTGGAAACAGAAGAAAGTCCCATAGTGCAGGCTGTAAGTTTTAGAAATTCCACCAACATATCTAGAATGTATTCATTGTATAATCTCAGATGCTGCAGCAAGTGGGAAAGATCTTTATCATGATTAGCCATCAGACAATCGTCTATCGATTAAAGCTAGCAACTTTGTGATTTGGCTATTGATGCTCCTGCCATCGCTGCTCTGCATTGGAATCCAACTGCTTGAAAGGCCCTCTCGCCGGACATTTCCGCTCTTTTGTGCATTGGATTTTTCAAACCAGCACCCTCACAATCATAGTTTTTTGGACAGATCTGGATGTCAACCTTTGAAAATTCCTCCCATTTATCATCATCTTAAAGTTTAAAAATGTCCTTGAAATGTCTCAAGATGAAGGCTCCCTTTTCAGGGTTTTTCAATTCCCTTTGCATTAGGTCTATCAGCTTCTGTTGTACAGGAATACATTTCCTTTTACTTTAGCCGAATCTTCATCTTGTAAGGTCAAGGTTACTTCCTTTTAATAAATCTCCTTAAATGACCACTATAGGCACCCAGACCACTTCAGCTCTATGAAGTGGTCTGGGTGCCAGGTCTCATCTAGAGGAATGAAAATCACTAAATCACCAATTGAAAATATGTAAAACAGACAACAAATTGTTGTTAGTATACTATATAGCAGCGTTTCCCAATTGGTGTAAGGTTTCGCAGCATTTGGCCACATCCAAGATGGCCGCCGCTACCTTCTGTGCCCGGAAGGTCGGCAATAGCAGAGATCGCGCAACCACGATCTCATAAGAGACCGCAGGAGCAAGATCTTAAGACTCTGTCAGGAGCATTGAAAGACTCTTTGAGGGGCATTGAAAGACTGTCAGGGGCATTGAATGACTCTCTGAGGGGCAAAAACCTGCTAACTGTATTTTTGAAAGTGTTCAAATCTTTTTCCTCCAAGTCTAACTCAAAAAGCCTGCTTTAGTTCAGTTGTTTCTAAGAGCGTTATCAAAATCAGTATCCTTTTCAGTCAGGTTGTGAGATCTGTATTTTTCAAAGTGTTATTTTTTATTTTACCAATAAACAACTATGAATTTGGAAAGCTGGTTAAAGCAGGGAACTCTTCAGAGAAAAATTATTACTACTTCTATCTGTTCGGCACTTATAGAAACTGAGAAAGAAGATACAACAAAAAATCCAGAAAACATGCCTGAAATAGTTGTATCTATTGTTCCTCAAATAGCAGAGGCAAGTGACAAGTCAAAAAAGAAAAGCACACAATGCTAGTCAATCTTCTTCTCAAACAAAGAAAATATTATGATAGCTCCTTGCCGTTTGGATTCACAAGTGCCAGAAATGAAAATTGTCCTGAAGCACAATGCGCATCGTCATTTTGAGCAAAACCATGCAGAATACAAAGATAAAGACATTGACTTTTTTAAGCGAAAGCTAAAGGAGTATCAGAAGAGTAAACAATTTATGAGCAAAAAATTTAAAAATGCTAATGAAAAGGCTACAGAAGCTTCTTACAGAGTGATTACCGCATAGCCCTTGCAGGAGAAGCACACACAAATGGGGAATCACTAATAAAACAATGTGCAAAAGAAATAGTGTCATGTATTTTAAGTGAGAAGTTGAGTAAAAAAATTGAAGCTGTGCCACTTTCCAACAACACAGTTTTGCGCCGTATTCATGATCTTGCTGATGACATCCATACTGAACTAATTTCTCGACTGCATCAATGTGATGGGTACTCACTGCAATTAGACGACTCCACAGGTGTTGCAGGACTTTCAGTTTTGTTGGTTTTTGTTAGATATAATTTTGACAAACAGATTGAAGAAGACTTGCTTCTGTGTGAAACTTTGAAAACTCATACCACGGGGGAGAACATCTTTAACTGTATCCAGAAGTTCATGAACACACACAGTATAAATTGGTACAAATGTGTAGATGTGTGCAGTGATGGTGCCAAAGCAATGGTGTCAAAGTGGCAGGCGCTGTGACACGAATAAGAAATGTAGCAAAAATCAGCACCAGTTCTCACCACGTTCTTCACAGACATGCACTAGTAGCTAAAAATATTTAAATCTCACTTAAAACTGTTCTAGACGAATCGGTCCAGATTATTAATTTTATAAAAAGTCGACCATTACAGTCACGAGTATTTAAAACTATATGTGAAGATATGGGTAGTCACCACTCTGCTCTTGCATTCAGAAGTCCGTTGGCTATCACAAGGTAAAGTTCTTGTTAGAATGTTTGAATTGCGTCAAGAGTTGTTTGCATATTTCCAGGATCATAAATTTGGATTATCTGATCGATTAACAAACACTCTGTGGTTATCCAAAGCATGGCCGGATTAACATAGGGGCTGATGGAGCTGCAGCTCCAGACCCAGGCCCATGGAATAGGCCCATTGATTTTTTTTTTTTACACATTTTTTTTTTTTAATTCTTTATTTTTGGAGTGCATGGAAATATAACAAGTGGGCTTGTCATGCCCCAACAGAATTGACAAGTATATGACAAAACATTTGTTAACAACTGTGGTCAGCATGTGAGAAGACAGCACAATTTTTATAGAGCAACATATATTGTTTAAGTTTTCCTGTCTAGACGATCAGTACATATGTTGGCAGGGACATTTCTAAACATGCAGGATGCAAGATAGCGGTCTAATAGAGAGTGAGTGCTTGCTACAGAGAAGCTAGGCTAGCCAGCATGAGATGCCTCTTCATGTGTAGGACAGGACAGTGATATATAATAGAATACAAGTAAATTACACAAGCTTAAATTGTGTAGCTAGTGTCTGCTAAGCGAATATCACTGGGGCTCCCACACCCATTATTGCTAACAACAAAACATATGAGTGCAAGTAGGTAAGTTAGTTAACGTCAGGGCTCATGCTAAAATGAAAAAACGCTTAAAATAGTTAGAAAGTGCATTGATAAAGCTCAGGGGATCTTGGGTCTCATCCTAGAGAACTCTGGCATTATTTTTTTGGGTCGTCCTCTGATATAGCAGGTGGTCGGTGTCTGGTAGGCAAGCTGTCCCCCACACAGGGGTTCTTTACCCTACTCCCTGTCTGGGCACTGCTCTGAGGTGGCTATTAAGTCCTCCGGAGAGAGACCTGTTGTGGCTCCTGTGTGAGGTACCCCGCGGCTCACCTGTGGCAGTTCGAGGACCTGTAGGTGGTTGCTTCTATTCCCATAGCGTTGTGGTCTCCCGTGGTGGTAAGTTGCGTTTAGGTACTTTTCCCGGTTGGGACCGTGATTCAGGGCGGTTGCTGGACAGTGCCGGGCAGATTCTTCGGCACCGTGTTTGTGTACCTGGCCTCCGTTTCTTCTTCTTTAGTGGCGATGCTGCACCAGAGCATTGCCCAGGAGTTGCGGGCTGCCCTTTTGTGAGCGGCAAGGTTGGTTCTGGCTGGGCTCCAGCAGGCTTGTGCCGGCGTGCTGCTAATGTGGACCAGAAGTTTGCGAATAAGGCGTCAAGCTTCTCCTGCAGAGTCAGTCGCTTAAAATGAGGCAGTGAGTTGCACGAGGCATCCGCCATCTTGGTCTTGGCGGGTGGGTAGTCCCAAGTTTATAGTAGCAGGAGCTTCACTAGTGAGACACCGTTGAAAGTTGCCGGGATAACCCCCACCGGCTGGGGGGGGGGGAGAGGGTGCAGGATGGTCCCGGGTAAGTGCACAATAGCAGGCAAAGGGATCAGCCGCCTCCCTCTCGTGCGCTGCAATTATGCCTCTTGCAGGCCGCGGACTCTCCTCCTGGGTTACCCACCGGTCATGGCTGGACACACCACTGGTTTGAGAGCTAGGGATGTCTCCCAATATTGTGGTGTCGAGGGATCTAAGTTTTGGGTCACTGAGTCACTTTTATCGCTTATTTAGGAGCCAGATAGCGCGGAGCTCTCAGTGTGAGTGACCATTCCATGCGGCTGCCAGGCTCTGCCCCCTACACATTTTTTTTCCCCACACACTACTCTTAGGGATTCCACCTGGCTTTTATTTTATTGGCACAGCCAGTATTTGAGGCTGCCTGGCTGGTGCCAATATTACAGTGATACTGGCAATACAAATGCTGGTATTTTTCTCAGTATAAACAAGAGATTACTATGCAATACCAGCACTGGCCAGTAGGGGTCACTGTGTGTGGAGACAGGCAGGGATAGGAAGTTCCAGCATATCCCTCCCTGCCTATCTATACTCACTGATCTGCAGGGGTGCAGCTACAGAGAGTCCAGACAGCAACTCCCACCTTGCAGAGACAGCCTACAGCTCAGGGAAGTAAGGGATGGGGGGAAAGGCTGCAAGGAGACATGGGGACACTGAGACACTAAGGGACATTGGGAGACATTGAGACATTATGACACAGACACATAGGGACACAGCGTCCCCATGTCTCCCAGCCAGTGTCTCTGGTGTCTCAGTGCCCCCTAGTCTCCCAGTGCCCCCAGTCTGCCAGTGTCTCACTGTCCCCATGTCTCCTAGTGCCTCCATGTCTCCCAGTGTCTCAATGTCCCCATGTCTCCAAGCTAGTGTCCCTAGTGTCTGTGGCCCTGGTGTCTCCTTGTCCACATGTCTCCCAGTGCCCCCATGTCTCAATGTCCCCATGTCCCCCAGCCAGTGTCTCTAGTGTCTGTGTCCCCATGTCTTCAAGTGTCCCCATGCGTCCCAGCCAGAGTCCCCTAGTCTCCCAGTGTCACTGGTGTCTCCGTGTCCCTAGGTCTCCCCGTGTCCCCAGGTCTTCCCATCTTCCTAGTGACATGGGGACCCTGGGATACATTTTGCTATACCATGTCAAAGGGTTCCAAGGGAAAAAATAATTGGGAAACCCTGCCTGCTGTAAACATAGCAGTTTTTACATATGGGTTAATCCAGCTCTAGTGGCTGTCTGATTGACAGTCGCTAGAGGCGCTTCCACACTTCTCACTGTGATTTCACTGTGATTGAGAATGCTTTCCTATGGACTGACTGAATGCGCGCGCGGCTCTTGCCGCGCATGCGCATTCAGCCGATGTCGTCCAAAGGAGGAGGAGAGTCCCAAGCGCCGAGGGAGCCCGTCACTCGAGAAAGGTGAGTTTTTAACCCCTTCCTCCAACTTCAGCCTGGCGGGAGGGGGTCCATGAGGGTGGGGGCTTCTCAGGGCACTATAGTGGTCCTTGAATTCATCAAGTGGGAAGCCAATCTCACACAAGATTACATGCTGGAAACATCTGACGAGGAAGTGGAGCATTCACCCAATGATAAATCAGATCTGTAAGAAGACCTTCTCCCCCTTATTGGTAGACTCTTGAGATATAGGTACACTGGACCTGGCCGATACGTTAAAGCTTGTGCCAAACTGGAGAGAAATTATTGTATGGACTTTACCAGCATGACAGATGAGCATTAGTTGCAGATTTTCTTTTTTGTGCTGTCTGGGAGTGGTGTAGCACACACACACTGCAGGCAAGGTGTTTGGACTTGGAAGTAGACTTTTTAGGAGCCAGACAGGCGCTTTATCTTTGTACAGTCTCTCAGGAGAAACAGGACTAGAAATATCTGAAATCCCCCCACCCCCCCCCAAAATAGTAGCCAATAAATATATAATGTAACAGATCACCTGGCACCCCGACTGGGTACCTCCGTTGAAGGATGCTCCTAGCGCTTCCTGAGGACTCCAAGCACTGCAGCAGACACCACAACCACCGAACCGGAGAAGCATACGAATGCTCTCAAGCATATGAGTGCTGTAAGCAGCTGAACAGGAAAAGCATACAATCAGCTTACACTCCTGGCAATCAGCATACAATCCAATTCCCCCAATAACGAGACGACACTTCGTTTTGAGGTCAAGCAGAACTGACTGTACTGGCACATACAGCCTCTTTTATTCACAATCCACAAACATAGTACTGCCCACAGGGATTTGAAATACAACCAATCAATCCGTACAATACACACAGACATGGGCGTAGGAACCAGGGGGTATGGGGGGGACGCATCCCCCCCAGCAAATCATGCAGGGGGGACAGGTTATGGGGAAATTGCATTCCTTACACACACTAAATGCACCCCGTACACACACTCAATGCACCACTTACAGACGCACACACTGCATCCCGTACATACACAGAAACACTCCTTGCAGCCCTTACACATACAAACACAGATTCACACAATGCATTCCTTACACACATATCAGGACATCCCTTACACACTCCACCCCCTGTGAACAAACTCATTGGTGGAACATGAAGGTGGACCCTGGGACCCAGACCTTGAGCTGTGTAAAGGGCCCCCAAAAAATGGAGCTGCTTCCCGTTCTCCCAGAACATTGATTTTTGTGACCACAGTTACAAACAGCCTTCAGAGAGCCTGTTCTACACCAGACCAGTGGAGCCAGACTGCAGCTAGAGCACATCATCATCCTCATCTGGTTGTAAGTAGGCAATCTAGCATATTATTCGTGGCACTAATCTCTAATTTACATGGAAAGGGGTTCTAATATAAATGGAAGGGGTAGAGACGGGTAGTAAAATGTATGGAAGGCATTTCTGAAAGTGTCACTGAATGGCAGTTAGGAAATGTGGTCACCCTAAGTCAGGGGCAGTATTACACAATCTGTATATGTATTAAAAAATATAAAAAGTAATCTGCAAAGTACAAAATGTTTGTGTCATATGTCGTGCTAAAAATTAAGCTAGGAATGTGCATATTTTTTTAAAATAATTTTTAGAATAATGATACAGACATTTTATTTCTTACATTTGTGATGATTCTTTTTTCCTCTCTATATTCAAGGGACACTATAGTCACCAGAACCACAACAGCTAAACGTAGTAGTTCTGGTGTCTGTAGCATGTCTTTGCAGGCTTTTTAATGTAAGCACAGCCATTTCGTAAAAAGGCAGTATTTACATTACTGATGAGGAATACCTTCAGTGGACAGTCAGATGGCCACTAGAGGTGCTTCCTAGTCGAGACATGAATGCCGCCCTATGAAGTATCTGCGCATGTGCGGCAAAGCTGCGCATGCGCACCAGAGAGCAATGACGCTTCTGAATAGAAGTGTTTTATTGCTCCCTGCTCGCACCCTCCTTTTTCGTTATTTTGACGAAATAGGGGGCGCCGCATCAGGAGGATCCCGGCGCTGTATCCAGGTAAGTAAAACCCCTTCCCTGTAGTGACCCTTTAAAGTTATTATTTAATCATTTATATAGCAACGGCAAATTCTGTAGCGCTGTGCAATGGGATAAACAACTCATAGTTTACGGAATAAGAATATACCCGGCGAGTAAAAATGCTATCCCCCCCAGATTTTTTGGGGTTCCTACGCCCATGCACACAGACACTCCCTCACAAAATCCTCCCCTCTGCCTGTGATATGATTACTGAACACAATGGTTAATCTAATTAACATAGGCAGAGAAATACAGTATTATAAAACATATCACAGGGACCCCAAAACATGCAATAACCCCATAAAAATATCCAAAATTCACCCAGATCCGTTCAGTAGTTTGGAAGATGCAGTTTAATGCAGATTCCGCAGAACATATACAGGCTATATGAAAAATAATTACTGTATAATGTGTCTCCTGTTATATAGTTTAAAACTACTGAACGATGTCTTCGTGCACCAAATACTGTCGAGATGGCATCGTGTAGAAAAGTCTAAACAGTGTCTGTGAGTTAAAATGGCCGCCATCCATTGTTCTCACCATGTGCCTCTGATACATGAAATGGTGGCCACCCAGTAACTCCACAGTATGTCCCCAGATGGTTTTTAAAGGGCCAGCAGCAGCATAATAAAATAGAATATGTCCAAATACTGTATTTGAAGGGCCAGACCTCCCAGGGCCATAGTCAGCAGGCAGGAGGCGGGCAAACAGGCTTCTCCAATGCCCAGTGGCGAGGTTGGTTTTGCCACATAAAATAAGCAGAAACAAATGGTTTTAAAGTAGAAACTATTAATCTCACCTCAAAAACCTAATGCGTGACATAAACTCTGACTAGCATCCATACTGTCAGGAGGATCAACACAGCTTTAAATATCAGTAGGATTTGAATTTTGTGGCAAATTTTTGAATTCCGATTTGCAGATGTGTAGTGACATGATCAGAACTTCGGTGGAATGCAAGTCCTCTTCAGGCATGCATTCCACCACTGTGCGCCGGCGCAAGGCCTGAATTTCGATATGCACACCAGGGCCGGACTGGCCCACAGGGATACCAGGAAATTTCCCGGTGGGCTGTCGGCACCTGGGGCCGGGCAGCCAGCTGGCTCACCTGCGGCCGCAGAGGGAGCTCCTTTGGCGGCCGCAGGGTTTGCTGGCTGTTGTGTCTCTGCTCCCCCTCCCCTGCACGCCAGGGGAGGGGGAGCAGAGACACAACAGCCAGCTCCCCCTGCGGCCGCCAAAGGAGCTCCCTCTGCGGCCGCCAGAAGAGCTCCCCACAGGTAGAAATTGTGTATGTGTGTGTGTGTGTGTGTGTGTCTGTCTGTCTGTCTTGGTGTGTGTGTGTGTCTGTCTGTCTGTGTCATGGTGTGTGAGTGTCTGTCTGTGTCATGGTGTGAGTGTCTGTCTGTGTCAGCAATGTGTGTCTGTGTCATTGTGTCTCTTAGTCATGGTGTGTGTGTGTCTGTCTGTGTCATTGTGTGTGTCTCTGTGTCATGGTATGTGTGTCACTGTCTGTCATGGTGTGTGCGTCTGTCTGTGTCATGCAATGTGTGTCTATGTCATGGTGTGTGTGTGTGTGTGTGTGTGTCATGTAATGTGTGTCTGACTGTGTCACAGTCTGTGTGTGTCATGGTGTGTGTGTGTGTGTTTGTGTCATGTAATGTGTGTCTGTCTGTCACGGTGTGTGTCTGTGTCACGGTCTCTCTGTGTCGTGGTGTGTGTCTGTGTGTCACGGTCTGTCTGTGTTATGGTGTGTGTGTCAAGGTGTTTGTGTCTTTTTTAAGGTGTGTGTCTGTCATGGTGTGTGTGTGTCTGTCTGTGTCATGGTGTGTCTGTCTGTCATGGTGTGTGTGTGTTTCAGTCTGTGTCACGGTCTGTCTGTGTCATGGTATGTGTTTTCAATGTAAACACTGACTTTTAAGAGAAAAGGCAGTGTTTACATTGCTTCCTAGTGACAGACACTCAGACGGTCACTAGAGGTGCTTCCTGTGTCAGTGGGGATTGGCTGAGATCATCAAGCTTGATGATCTCAGCCGTAGAGGCAGGGCCAGGCGAGGGGAGATCAGCATGACGTGGGGGGAAAGTAGGTAAAAGACACATGCACACACACACCATGACAGACACACACCATGACACAGACAGATCGTGATACAGACAGAAACACACACACACCATGACAGACACACCATGACAGACAGACACACACACCATGAAAGACACACACCTTAAAAAAGACACACACACCTTGACACACACACCATAACACAGACAGACCGTGACACACAGACACACACACCACGACACAGAGAGACTGTGACACAGACACACATTACATGACACAGACAAACACACACACACCATGACACACACAGACCGTGACACACACAGACACACATTACATGACAGACACACACACACACACCATGACACAGACGCACATTGCATGACACAGACGCACACACCATGACAGACAGTGACACACACACCATGACACAGAGACACATACAATCACACACACACCATGAGAGACAATCACACACACACACCATGACTAAGAGACACAAACAATGACACAGACACACATTGCTGACACAGACAGACACTCACAGATGTCCTGACGAAAGCTTGAAGGGATCAAGCTGAAACGTTGACTTTGTGTTGTTTTAGTGGAAGTAATAAAAGTTATATTTTATATTAGTCCTTGGAGTGCTATCTCTGGCAATATTTTTTGCATTTTTGGCTGACAAGCACCGGGCATTGAATATTGAATTGGTGGAGTGCAAGATCCGTTTGGTTTTTTATATATATATATATATATATATATATATATCTCAATCATCTAGTGTTGCAAGTCAAAGAAGAAGAAATTTTGGGGCCCCTGACAAAGCACAAGATCTGGTCCGCCCCTCCTCCCCCCTCCCGCCCGGCCTGCCCCGCCCACGAGTCCACCCACAGGACTCCTGCCTAGTCCACTGCAAATGATGCAGGACTGAATGTGGTGTGTATAGTGGAAGTGAATTAGAATTTGTGTAATGGATGTAGTGTTTGTGTGTATTATATACTGTTTAAGTAGTGGATGTAGTGTGTGTTTGTGTAGTGGATGTAGTGTTTGTGTGTACTAGATGCAATGTGTTTAGTGGATGCAGTGTCTGTAGTGGATGTAATGTGTGTATTAGACGCAGTGTCTCTATATAATGAATGCAGAGTGTTTGAATGTGTGGTGGATGTAGTGTGTGTACTGTGAATACAGGATGTTTGTGTAGTGGATGCTGTGTGTATAGTTAATGCAGAGTGTGTGTCAGTGTAGTGGATGCAGAGTGTGTGTCAGTGTAATGAATGCAGAGTGTGTGTCAGTGTAGTGGATGCAGAGTGTGTGTGTGTGTTAGTGTAGTGAATGCAGAGTGTGTGTTAGTGTAGTATATGCAGAGTGTGTGTTAGTGTAATGATTGCAGTATGTGTGTTAGTGTAATGAATGTAGAGTGTCTGTTAGTGTAATGAATGCAGAGTGTGTGTTAGTGTAATGATTGCAGTGTATGTGTTAGTGTAGTGTCTGCAGTGTGTGTTAGTGTAGTGAATGCAGAGTGTGTGTTAGTGTAGTGAATACAGAGTGTGTGTATGTTAGTGTAGTAAATGCAGAGTGTGTGTTAGTGTAGTGTATGCAGAGTGTGTGTTAGTGTAGTGCATGCAGAGTGTGTGTGTGTGTGTGTGTGTGTGTGTGTTAGTGTAGTGAATGCAGAGTGTGTGTATATTAGTGTAGTAAATGCAGAGTGTGTTTTAGTGTAGTGAATGCAGAGTGTGTGTTAGTGTAGTGCATGCAGAGTGTGTGTGTGTGTGTGTGTGTTAGTGTAATGAATGCAGAGTGTGTGTTAGAGTAGTGAATGCAGTGTGTGTGTTAGTGTAGTAAATGCAGAGTGTGTGTTAGTGTAGTGAATGCAGAGTGTGTTAGTGTAGTGAATGCAGAATGTGTGTTAGTGTAATGATTGCCGTGTGTTAGTGTAGTAAATCCAGTGTGTGTGTTAGTGTAGTGAATGCAGAGTGTGTGTTAGTGTAGTGAATGCAGAGTGTGTGTTAGCGTAATGATTGCAGTGTGTGTTAGTGTAGTGTATGCAGAGTGTGTGTTGGTGTAGTGAATGCAGTGTGTGTGTTAGTATAGTGAATACAGAGTGTGTGTTAGTGTAATGATTGCAGTGTGTGTGTTAGTGTAGTGTATGCAGAGTGTGTGTTAGTGTAGTGAATGCAGTGTGTGTGTTAGTGTAGTGATTGCAGTGTGTGTGTTAGTGTAGTGTATGCAGTGTGTGTTAGTGTAATGATTGCAGAATGTGTGTTAGTGTAATGATTGCAGTGTGTGTGTTAGTGTAGTGTATGCAGAGTGTGTGTTAGTGTAGTGAATGCAGTGTGTGTGTTAGTGTAAGGATTGCAGTGTGTGTATTAGTGTAGTGTATGCAGAGTGTGTGTTAGTGTAGTGAATGCAGTGTGTGTTAGTGTAATGACTGTAGTGTGTGTGTTAGTGTAATGATTGCAGTGTGTGTGTGTTAGTGTAATGTTTGCAGTGTATGTGTTAGTGTAGTGTCTGCAGTGTGTGTTAGTGTAGTGAATGCAGTGTGTGTTAGTGTAGTGAATGCAGTGTGTGTGTTAGTGTAGTGAATGCAGTGTGTGTGTTAGTGTAATGAATGCAGTGTGCGTGTTAGTGTAATAATTGCAGTGTGTGTTAGTGTAGTGTATGCAGTGTGTGTGTGTTAGTGTAATGATTGCAGTGTGTGTATTAGTGTAGTGTATGCAGAGTGTGTGTTAGTGTAGTGAATGCAGTGTGACCCCTTGCAGCAAGCCATGTGCCTCACCAATCTTGGTCCTTGATTCCTCCAGGGACACTCTTCCATCCCATGATGGGACAAGGAAGAACTTACTTGCCTTAGGAGACTTGCCTGGGGAGTTCCTTCATACTTTAAGTGGGTGGGACTTTTTTTTTTTCTTTTTAAATCTTACTTTATCTTTTTCAGATGCAAATGCATACATTTCTACTGTGTACTGCCACCATATGGCAGGAAATATAGAAAAGTCATATCATACTTACTGTAATTTTACAAAACAAGGTAAAAAGATGGAAATATAAATTAATGCTTCAATCACTTATGTGGGTTACTCCATCACAAACAAATAAGTGCAGGTAATGATAAAAATGGTGAGAGCAAACACAATAGTGTACCGTTTTGACTTTAAAATGCAATACTATCGTATGCACCATTTTAAACGCCAGACTTTAAAGGACCACTATAGTGCCCTGAGGGTGCCCCCACCCTCAGGGTCCCCCTCCCACCCGGCTCTGGAAGGGGGAAAGGGTTAAAAACTTACCTTTTTCCAGCGCTGGGCGGAGAGCTCTCCTCCTTCTCTCCTCCTCCTGGGCTGAATGCGCACGCGCGGCAAGAGCTGCGCGCGCATTCAGCCCGTCGCATAGGAAAGCATTTACAATGCTTTCCTATGGACGCTTGCGTGCACTCACTGTGAAAATCACAGTGAGAAGCACGCAAGCGCCTCTAGTGGCTGTCAATGAGACAGCCACTAGATGATTAGGGGGAAGGCTTAACCCATTGATAAACATAGCAGTTTCTCTGAAACTGCTATGTTTATAAAAAAAAAAAATGGGTTAACCCTAGAAGGACCTGGCACCCACACCACTTCATTAAGCTGAAGTGGTCTGGGTGCCTAGAGTGGTCCTCTAAGCTGATCACAAGAGACAACCACCTTTCAAAGTAATTAAGCCTGAGCCAGCTATTTGAATGGCTTAGCATTATGTGAGTGGGACAGTTTGTTCACTTTTTATTCTTTTATATTAACAGTAGTACTCTATGTTTTTGGGGTTTTTTTGTGTTTTTTTTAGGTATAATTTTATCAATTTTAAGGTAAAAATTGTTTACTTTTGTGTGTGCTTTCCCCATTATTATTACCATAATTTCTTGCTATTATTCATGGCAGCATCACTTCCAACATGGTAGCTCCACCTCCAACAGGAACAGGGCGGAAAACAATTAACAAATTAGAAAGAGTCTGTAGGAATAAAATGTCCCTCCTCCTTCTACCCAACAGCCTAGTTAAAAAGCTCTGGAAAAATATGCGCAGAAAATGCAGTAAGTATGATATGAATTTTTTATATTCCTGGCGTATCATGGCAGCATCACTTATGGGTAATACCCAAGCTAAACAACAAAAGTAGATAGGGAAAAATATACAACCAGAGGAGTCATAATAATGCTGCAAACAGGGGGGTGGGGCCTGACACAAGCTCCCACATAATCCTGCTAAATAAAGTCTATTTCAGCTTTTTTGGGTGGGGCCTGAGATCGAATCAGCAGCCCACTGGGTCCCTGCCACAGAGGACACGCAGTGGATTGATAAGCAAACTGATAGAGGCTCATTTACACCTAGATAGATCAAGTGGCCTGGTATGCATCAGGAGGGAGAGGCGGCCGATCTCTGAACCAGGAGGCACCCCCAAAGCTGACAACACATGCACGCCCCGTTACCCACCTCCCCCCTGGCCCTTTGGACTGGTGGGGGAGATCCTGGTCCGCCCAGGGAAGGCTACCCCTATACTGCTGAAATGTGGGGTGAAGCTGAGAGAGCCAGCAGCAACTCACCCAAGATGGCGGACACATCATGTGCTGCTTGTCCCTGCGATGGTACGCTGGAAGTCCTGACAAAACTGGATCAACTCTTTGATGACTTCTGGCGCAAGCTGGAACACAGGCTGCACCCACCTGTCCTACTCCAGCCAAATGCTTTCTCCCTCAGGTGACCACCTCCACACTCCCATAGGGAAGCTTTTCCTCAGGCTGTTCACAAGGCCCCAACATGGCAGAGAAATGTGCACACAGAACCACATAGACAGGTCTAAGCTAGGGAAAGACCTAAAGACCTAAGGGGAATCAAGAACCTACCACCTGCTCGCACCAGCCTGCTTTATACTGGGCATGGAAGCCTGCAGCATCACAGTCTGCCTGAGCAAAGGCAGCATGACGACGGGAAAGGTCGCAAGATGGGGATGAGTATCATACAGTGCCAGAGATGCTGCTGGGAGCTTTGTTCGCGGTACATGTAATGGACCGTTAGATCTAGTCCGGACTTGAAAGAACAAATACTGCTGAGATTTTTGAAAAGATTGAAAGACCTGTAGGTATTTGATCAAACATTCTCTTCTCATATCCAACTGATGAATTTTTTTCTCTACTTTTGACTAGGCATTTGGATAAAAGACAGGTAAGGATAATATCTTGAAGGAGAAAATTTGAAACCTTTAGGCAAAAACCTTTGCCTAGGTCTCAAGACCACTCTGTCATGATAGACCTGGACATGGTCCTCATCACATGCCAAGGCTGGAATTTCAGACACACCTTTTGCTGTTGTTACGGCCACTAATAAAAGGAGTTTTGGGGGGCGTGGTTAGCTGGGTTCCTGGACAGACATGCAAGTGTGGTGCTGCTGCTCCATAAACTAGAAAAAAGCCCTTTTACCACTAAATACCCAGAGAAAATTACATATATTGACAACTTGGCACCCCGCCCAAAGAGTGATAGGGCAAAAACACAAAAAGCTGATCCGCTCATAGAGTGCAAATCTCCCCATCTGACAGTCCTATGACAGACTGCGGTCTCAGGCCCACCTCAAAATGGTACCTCGGAGACCGCATGATTCAAGCGACTCCAATTAAGACACCTACCACATGCCACTGGTGGAGTGTATCTGAGGGCTGACTCCTGGTGGACCTGAGAGAGGTCTGGAAGGCAGACCTGGCAGGTGCACAGGCGGAGATTGGCAGGCTGCCACACCGCCTGGGGGTCGTTGAGTCCACAGAAGGTGAGCGCGACAAAGACTTACAGATACCCACTCTCCTGTACGGTGGCATCGCTCGAGGCGAGACACCGCAGGAAAAATATTAGGATCCGCGGAGCTCCAGAAACAAAGGGCCCAGACGCCTTGCTGGACTTCACCCAAAAATTGACACGGGCACTGGAAGTGAAGGGGGATGGGGAATCCTCCCCATAGTATTGGCATTCATGATTATGAATGCACAGTCTGTCCCAGTAGATGCACCCACAGATGTAATTGCTGTCACTCAGGACATCGCCACAAAATCAGCAATAATGGCCCGCTCCAGAAAATACCCCAGTGTGATGGTTGAAAATTGCAAGATTACAATCTTTGAAGACCTACCTTTCTCTGTCCTGCTGGGTTGACGCAGGTTCGTGCCCATCACTAAGCTCCTGAGGCAGCACAACATCAGGTACAGAGGAGAAATCTCGGGGACCCTGGTAGTCACACACAGTGGCACGGTCTCTGTTCTCTCAGTCACAGAAGATCCAACAGAATTTCTGACAGGCCTTCAGCTGTCACCTCTGCCCGAACCTCCCAGGAAGCAGCAGGGAGGTTCGTCCCGAGATGCTCAAACTTGAGCAACTAAGCCCCGGACAACAGAAGACACTCAACCCTTACAGCTACAGGAACCTCCGTAGGACTACTGAGGGTTACTTTTTTGATGAAGTCGGGTCGGGACTATCATACTTCAACACAGCACATATAGGGCTGGCCCGCTCCACAGCAGCATTATCCACAACTCCCTTAGTCTGAATTATTGTTGTTGATGTAAGTTAAGAATACCTTGTTTGGTTATCCTAAAGTGCCTTCATAGGAACGTTATAGAGGACATAGCACCAACACAGATATTACAATGCTTACCGTTCAAAAGCCCATATCGGTTTTCTGATTATTGTGAAATCTCCTTATATATATATTTTTTTTGTTTTATCTATGCCATGTACAATGCAACAAAAAAATTGTGCTTTCATCCACACCAAAATAAAGATTTAAAAAAAAAAAGGAATTTTATAGGTCAGCAAGATTATGTCAAGTTTGTCTTTCGGAGCACAAGGGGATTATGTCAATACATACAGAACCATAGGAAGATTCAATGGTGGAGTATAATTTCTCGTATAAGGTCTAATATTACAGGCAGCTTTGGAAAAAGCAAACTTCATAGGAGGGGATAATTCTTTCAAGAGGTTTCTGCTTCAGATACCTTCTGGTGATTCACATGGGATGCAACCGTTCTGTATTTGTACCCATGAATTTGTTAGAAATGGAAGAAAAACCAAGTGCCTTGTACGTTGCTCTCAATTCTCTTAGGTTTGAGTGGTTTCCTTTCTTGACCATATCCCCTACTTCCATTTCGTGCCATAATGGGCTCCCCATCCGTGTAAGCTCATGTCTTTAGTGACAGTCTGCCAGTCTGGTTCCTCGAATGGGAATCCTGGAGACAGGTGTCTCTTTTTGACCCACCAATTCAGCTGGTCTTTTAAGGAAGTAGTAGGATTTTCTGATCTCAATTTCATACTTGCTTTTTTCGAATTTATGTAGAAACTCCATCCGGATTGGATGTATATTCCACTTTGCCCATTTTACTAGACCTATGGTGGAAGTGCGTAAGCCCAGAAGGATCATAAAGTCTCTTGCTGAAAGGAAATTTTTTTTTTTTTTTTTTTTAAAGGTTCAGAATCTTTACTCGAATTCGCTCTATCCTTTTCGGAGAAGTCACTGTCCATCACAGCTCATAAGAATGTCCTTCTTTGGGCTGGTGTCATTAAGCTCTTCTCCATCCAGGTTATAGAAGACAATTGACCGCAAATTGGGTATTTAAAGAAACTGTAGGACGAGATTAAAAAAGTTGTCTAGATAGTGATTATCTCTCTATATTCTGTTTTCAAAGAAAGGTAACCATTACAATAAGAATCTTTGAAAATGTTCTTGGAGCCAGATTCAATCCGAATGGGAGACCTCAGAACTGATGTCTCCCTGAGACCTGTCAGTATATATATATCTATATATCTATATCTATATCTATATCTATATATATATATATATATATATCTATATCTATATCTCGGCAGACATTTTGTGCGAAAATAGAAATTAAAAGAGTCTACTGCCAGTCACACTTAATACAAAGCTGACTCCATTTTGGTATCTTCAGGCTACGAAAGACAATTTCTTGCTTTATGTAACTCCAGCCATTCAAGCCTGAGCTAAGGAATGCGTTATGTAAACAAAGCAAGTGATAAGGAATGAAGTCTCACAGCAAGGATGGGGGTGGAATTACAACCCAGAAAGACAAGTATACATACATGCATACACACACCCACTATACACTTATTTACTATTATATTAAACACATTTAATTAGTATCATGTTAATAATATAGACTATACATTGATATTATTTAATAAATGTTAGTGGAATAAAAATAATCTTACACGCAGCTTCACACAAGACGACCAGAAAGCCAGACACCAGTGACAGATAACACCTAGTAATTCATTTTACTTTCGGAATCTTACAACATCCCATTGTAAGTAAAAGGGTGAAATTAAGGTTAGGAGGCGTCAATTCTAGAATTACGATCGAAATTGCCACCACAAAGATGGGGTAAATCCTTTGAACTGGCAGCAAATTTGAGTTATACTGGCCATTTAGATACGCCAAAATCATCATCATTTTTAGTTAACTCTTTCTAGGACAAGAAATTTTGGTGATGTAAGGGCACCATCTACTGACCAAAATCTAGATGATAGTTTTTTGACATACCTACAGCTCCCTGACGTACAGATAGTCTGGCCCTTTAAAGGACAAAATAGATTCAGGACAGAGATTGAAGATACACACTCTGGTACTTAATACACACTCAATCCAGAGATTCAAGATCCAACATCTAACACTCCGCTCTCAAACTCTCTTTGACTGTCGTCAAGAAACTCAACTCTCTCAAACTCGCCTAATTCTTAATACTTTTATATTGCATACAATCCTATACAATCATAATCATACTTGCATTCAATTCCTGAGATTATATAATCGGATAAGAAGATCTACTACATAACTGGTAATTATGCTGGTTTTATTTAATTTAAATTAATACAAATTTTACATAGCAGGAATATATGCCTGGATAAGTTGTCAAATTCAAATTAGAAATCTAAGTTAACTAAAGAATATATGGTTATAAAAATGCCATTCCTGCAGGTGGAATTAATTTAATTATATACCAACGGTTACATTTACCAAGAGGTTAGCATGACAAATTTTATCCAGAAATATTGACTTGTTCTGAAATAAGATAGTGTATCTTATTTAGGGAAATTAAAATTCGGCTAATGTAAAATCTGGTAGAATTTTTTTTATTGGATGGTTCCAGGAATGATTAATGATCTGTTGTGAATATTGCAACAGAATAGGATATTATATGCCTAGGAGTATTGTAACCAGCAGTGGAATAGTTAATCAGGATCTAACTGATAGCCAAGATTTTATGGCTTCTCGTTGTGCTGTGAAGTTTTGAGTTCTGTATTCAGTACCCTCATAAATCTTGCTAAGTTCTTGACGGTTGATGCTGTATACGCTGAGTTTGTTTAAACATTGCCATTCTGTTGTATACCTGTTATACTAAATTGTCACTGATTATTATCACGCATGTTACATATTTTTATTATTATTGTCACAATAAATTATATTTTTATAATGAAATTGTGATTGTGTGAAGTAAAATCCTCATAATAAACGTTCTGTAGGATTTCCCTCCTTGTAGGCTATTTCAAGTAGTCTCTTTAGTAGGAGTTAAAACAACAGGAGTTGAAACCAAGAGGATAAATATTTTTTTGCTCACTTTTTTTGTTAACTGTGGATGAGTACTAGCAAGATTTCAAGTTTTACTCAGTGTACATTGTGCTGCATGTATGCATGCCTGGATAAATCTGTCCAGGGTCCATACACCTCTGTGGTGAGTGTGACGAGTGGCTTTTCTGGAAGCTCAGATTGGAGATCTGGAGAGGCTAATTGCAACACTGAGGGAGACTGACAATCTTGAGAGGAGTCTGCTGCTCACTGAGCAGAGTTTGGTGGGTGCAGGTAGTGGAGTGGGAGGAGATGAGGCAGTTGGAGAACAGGCACATAGTTGTGTAACAGTGGGGTGAGGAAGCAGAGAGGGAGGGAAGAGCAAAGGTTTAGCCAGTCCTGATCTTGTGCAGCCTAACAGATTTGCCAGTTTGAGTGAAGATGTTGGGGGCATCAGCTAAGGAGTAGCTGTACTGCAGGAAGCTGTTCCTTCTAACAGCCGTGGGAACTGCCCCTCTAGTACGGGTGTGGTTGAGAGGGTAAGGAAGTCCCTTTGGCTAATATACACTTCTTATATATATGGTTACTCTATTTTCTGCTGATGCACAATAAAGACAAAATGACTAATCATTTATTTCACAACATCCATAAGAGATGCAGATGATACAATGGAATTAGTTTACAAACTGAACTAAAAAGAGGATTGAAACTGTGCATTTGATTAGTCAAGCTATGCTTAAAGACATTAAAAACCCTTTCAGAAAAGGGTAAAAAAAAACAAAACAAAAAAAAACAAACACAAATTCCAAAGACATAAAAGGGAGAAACATTTTATTTGTTTAATTTTCTTCACATACAATTTTACAATCCAGTGTTGCAGAAAAAGCCTTATAAATCAAAATGTGCTGAACATACCTTTTATTAGTCTTTACCCCAAAAATCAATTCAGTCTTCCATGCACATAAACTCAAAAAAAAAAGCCACACAAAACAGTCATTCACCTTGCGCAACACATGGCAATCTACAATAAGATATTACATAATACAGAGGCATTTTATAATTTGCACAAAGCTGTGCTCATTGTGCATACAGTGATAGGGCAGTACTTAAAACATGCCATACACATCTAGTAAGAGACCAATGGCTTGTCAGTACTTTCATATAGATGGGAAACCAAGAACTGTAAATAAACAGACATTTTGAATTAGCTTTTTAATCTATTAAAAAAAAAAAAATGATGCACTTAAAACCCAAGAACAGAAATCACAAAATATTTTACTATAATGCATGGGGACAACCTGCTCAAGTAAACAGGCTGGCTTAGTTGCTGAAAGAAACATGTTCCAGCAGCAAGACAGGGCAATGTCCAAAGGTAAATTTTATTGTAGTACTAATGAGAGAACATTACTACCAGACAGCAATCTGATAGGCTAGGCACTAACTTAAGTGCCTGGAATCAACCAGATCAGCTGTCAGGAAGATGATAAAATAGAGCGCACAAGGCAGCAACATGGTCTTATTTTTGCTTCTAAACATAATAAAGTTAGTTTAATGTCATGTTAAAAAAGGAGAACACAGAAAGTACAAATCTGACAGAAAGCAGAAAGAGCGAGGGGAGGCCAATGGTGGTGATTGAAGACCAGTATATACTAAGGATCTCTTCTGGAACAAAGTAGATGGAAGTTGTTCCCTCTGCTCTCCAGGTCACCTGCAATAAAATATTGAGTTGTAATTCTCCAGATAAAAAACAAAAACAAAAAAACATTCGATTGGAAGTGTTGGGGTGGGAGGAACCCAACAATAACCAATAAAGGTTAGAGTCATCAACTCTGCACTATAATCACAACAGTCTGCTGTCACTTCCTCCCAGCAGCACTTGCGGTGCAGCCGCAATTTTTTTTTAAGGGGGCACGGTCGTGCTATTACACGGCCGCAGCGCTTACCAGGCCCCCGAAAATATAGGGCTTATCGGGTGGTCCTAAATGCTTGGGCCACCTGATAGGCCCTGGTGCAGATACACCCGCTGCAGTTTCACTGCTCCACGTGGGGGCCGGGCCCGTGACAACCGTCATGGTTGTCACCCCCTGATGGCGGCCCTGTATGTAAGTGTGTGTGTGTGAGAGCAGAGTACTTGTAGAATAGAAGAAAGAGGGAGCAGAGTACTTGTAGAATAGGAGAAAGAAGGAGAGTACTTGTAGAATAGGAGAAAGAAGGAGAAGACTACATGTAAAAAAGGAGAAAGAATGAAAATAAGAAGGAAAAAGGAGAGAGAATTGTTGTGGGCTGCCTGGCTCAGCCTTCCTACTGGGCATTGCTATAAGGAAGGTTAAATAGAAAAAAAAAAAATACAAGAAGGAAGTAAAAAAAAGGTGGGGAGGGGAATTGGGGAGGGAAGCTGATGCACATGAGAAATCATATGAGCAAACAGAGAAATCGTCTGAATATCACCAAAAGAGGAGACCTTCGTTCCTTACAAAAATCGAACCAGATATCTAATATTTAGTCTTGCAGCATCAACCTCAATAATCATTAGTACAGGTAATTTCAATTTACTTTGTTTTCTCATTAAACTTTATAAAGTTAAAACCATTATAAACATGCATAAAGTAGAAATAAGATAAATGTACGTACATTTATTTTTATTTTTTTTAAAAACACCCTCCTTTCTAAAAAAATATTCTGCACTTGCGCAAAAACTGGTGGGAGGTAAGGGAAGTTTTTCCATCAAGAAAGATGCATTAGTGGGCGGTAGGTAGAAAAAGGTTGACTACCACTACACTGAAAAATACCCAGTATGTTATAATTGAGACAAACAGTAACTTAGTTACATGTAATGTAGCTAATTTGATATGGTGCTCATACAGACTGGTTACAATTCTGATAAACATTTATATTTAAATGCATTCCTTAAAATAAATTTACTCTGGTTTATTTTGAAGCCCTACGAGCGCGAGGATGTCCAGTGTCAGTTAAGCAACTTTTTTTATACTGTACTTTTCAAAATAAACCTACATTTCGATGAAAACTGAAGTTTTTGGTTTTGTATCTCCTGCTCTCAATAGCTTGCTAGACCTTGCATGACCCTCCTGTATGTAATTAAAGTTCAATTTACAGAGTATGACATAGAAACTTAAAGTTGGTTACATCTCATTGAAAAATAAACCATTTTTTTCATGCTGGCTGTGTCAGTCGCAGCCAGGGGAGGTGTGGTTAGGGTTACATAAACAGAAACAAAAGTAATTTAACTCCTAAATCGCAGAGAATTGACCAGTGATACCTCAGAGGCATGATCTAGACACCAAAACAGTTTCATTAAGCTGAAGTTGTTTTGAGGACTATAGTATCCTTTTAACAATGCTTCAGGTGATTCTAAAAGTTTGTTTCTCACTTTTTTTTAATTTTTTATATATAAATATAAAAAAGTTAGGTCTTATTTGGGCTATTGTAGAACTTTAACCCAGACTTGTTTTGATAGATCATTGGCCTTGATGATGCTAAAGTATTGACAAACCTATTGAAATTACTTCATGATCACAAGGACAACTATGATGAGGTCCCTTTAATTTTTAACAATTTTTCAAAGAAATGTTTTTTCCCCTCAAATACATTTGGACTGGTGGAGTGCTGTTGGATCACTAAACAGTGGGTCAAGTAACATGTGCAGTAGGGAAACACTCACCTTTGTGACTCAGCTAGAGTTCCTTTGACGTACATTGTCATGGTTTGCTCCAGAGTTGCTTTTCCTATAAATGGAGAGAAACATTGTAGATTTACATACAGAAGTATCTAGCAATATCCAAGCAAACAAATTAACCTAAACACATTCTTCTGACCATTGGAAATTAGTCATCTGGAGAACAGCTCGATGCTGCTTTTCATGTCGTTTACTTAAAGCAAAACATGACTTAAATGCTGCAGACTGTATCCAAATCCTATTTAAACAGAGAATTTTTTTTAAGGGCCACTATAGCTAAATGTAGTTGCTCTGGTTCGTAAAATCATTCCCTGCAGGCTTGTTGTTCTGTCATTTCAGAGAAAATACAGTGTTTACTTTACAGCCTAGGAATACCTTCACTGGCCACTCCTCAGATGTTTCAATACCATTTTACATTATTTAAGAGGGAAAATAGTTATTTTAACACTATAGGTTTAGGGAAAAGAGTGTGTTCCTTTGAGAGACTGTATGACTTTCTTCACAACTCACATGGCCAATATAAGAACAAATTTTATGTATTTATAGCAGATGCAATGAGTTTGTTCCACAATTCATGGTGTGCACATCTTAAGACCAAAAACTTAAACAAGTTGTGCAAAATTAGTTGGGGCTTTTAAGCAACAACACACCTAGGAACCTATATGAACCTTTTTGATAGTGTGTCCATCAGAGAGTCAGCCATTGTGCTGGCCAAGCCTTTATATATTTTGTCGTGGACCCTGTCCTTGTAGCAGTACTGTCCCCCTGGTTCGGTACTTTCCCTTCTACGGAACAGATTGTTGAAAATATGGCAGACGGGGGCAATTTTGTGAACCAAATGACACCAGCGATGGTTAATTGCGAACGTTGTGGAACCATATATAGCACCTTAATCACACGGTTCCCAGTTTACTTGCAGAACTGTTTTATTCCACTTGTCAACATGCCAGGAGAGTGCCATTTGTAGGGAAATTACTACTAAATATGTGGATCAATCGCGTTCAAGCTAGAAACAGCGGAGTTACTGGTTATAGTGTGCCTGGGGCAAGATGCAACTCAGAGCGCTTGTAAGGGGAAGCCAACTTTCCCTCCAAGCCACATTGCGCTCTCACACACCTCAGTCCAGATTTTATTTTCTTCTCATTAAAAAAAAGATAAATAAAACTTGTACATGTGCTCTAAGCCAGTGAAATGGTCAAGTCACAGGTTTCTTAATGAGAAGCCTGTGATTGGATTGCTCGTGTCCCCAGTGACATCAGGAGGGGACATAGAGGAACAGAACCAGGAGGAGCTAGCCCTGGCACGAGACTGCAGGCAGGTAAAACTTTCTTTCAGGTTTTACATCAAATAAAAAGGGGGGACAGTAACTGAGCTAAGATTCGCTCTCCCTCAACAGATTACAGAATCAAGAGACACCCCCGTCCCCTAAATACCTTCAGTTTGTCCCTTTGGGTTATTTATCGCATGTATATGAGTCAGGATCCACATAGCCCTATAAGTTAAGGCTGGCATAACGTATGTCTATTGCATCAGTGAAAAAAAAAAAGGAGGGATCCATTCATTCGCTCATCTGTAGACCTCGGTGCACTGTACATAGATGGCAAACCCCTAATCCATATAGTTAAAGCAACGCAGTCCAGGCACTGTATCGGTCTTTTTCCTCTCCAATAAATCTGATGTATTAAGACATTGAGTGCCTGGACTACTTTGTGGTTACTATTGCATCAGTGGAGAGATTTGGGTGTAGCTGATTAAAGGCACCATTAGTTATGGATTGTAATGCCTATTTTCAGTTACATAGCTGAAAAGAGACATGCAAAGTTCAGCCTCACATCTGTTGTTGTTGTTCCAAAAGTAAAAAAATACCAGTTTTAAGTGCTTTCCAATTTTGCAACAAACTAGAAAAAAAAAATCCTCCTCGACCCCAGTATGGCGGTCACATCCTTCCTTGAAGAAACCGTTACTCAACATATTAAAAAATAATTAGAAACTGCTCTAATAAAATATGTGTGTCTGCAGCACATGGTAAGAAGCTGCAAGACCCACTGACCTATTGCAGCATAGGACATACAGACAATAGATACTTTAAACCTGTTAATGCTATAATATTACATGTACTTACAAAGGAGCAGATCCACCATCTTCATCTTTAATGATTCATGAAAAGGGGGAGGGGGGACACAAACAAATTAAAGTTAGAAGAAGTCTTAAATACATTAGCATCTTTTATGATTGTCAGGGTAAGAGACATAGCAAATATTCTAGCAAATGTATTTTATTACAGTAACCCCACCCCCACACTATTCATCTAAATAAAGCAAGAGGCAAATGGTCTTGGGAGAAAAGGGAAATTCACTCTTACCAAAGTAAGATTTTTTTACTGCCTGAAGCTAAGGGACAGAGCAGAGAGATGCATTGGACTGACAGTGATTTAACATTAGCGCTACATGGTATTAAAATTTATATGAGTAAAAAAATAATCACCTCAGTTTTCATTTTTTAATGTTAAGAGCATCAGATGGAGATCCAATTCACCAACTAAAAGATTGTCATAATTGGTGATGGGCAGTGTTATTTATTGGGTAGGGAAGATTATTCAGTGCTCTGGAAAAATGATTATGCAGTGTTGGATATTTTATCTAACGGGCCAACCCAATGCTTCCCCGCAGGGAAGTATTGTGAAGCTAGTGCTAAAGTGCAGCAAAATTGCCACATTGCACCCAAGTCAGTACATCTCTATAAGTAATAGGTTTCTCCATGCAGCGTATGTGACTACAGTGGAAGCCACTAAAGGTGGACTTAATGCAAACAGAGCCGGTCTTTGCCCAAGCTATAGTGGTTGTGGTGCCTAAATAACTTACACACACTTTTGCATCTAGTCCTATATATAGTCTGATTAAAAACATTCTGCAGCTAAAACACACGGATTGATTTCTGGTGGGAATCTTCTATATTAGCGGAGACACATTTTTTCATAAGTGCATTACTTGTCTCACAGAAACTTAACTTCATACAGACTATAAAGTTTCATCCATGGCCCACTTACATACGCAATACCATTTGATAGTCGATGAATAAGAAAGAAAGCTCTAAAAAGAAACCTAGTATATCTTAACACTAACAGACTTACCTTCAGGTGCCTCATCTGGCTTTCTCCTCTTCTCATAAATGAAGATGATTGTAACCAGGATGATAACTTCAGCAACAATGCCTAGGAAAGGCCAGAGGGCAGCAAGACGACTGCGTACACGGAGGGAGACTGTGGCCCCTGTTGTACCTAGGAAGTTTGTTCCATTGCAAGCATATGTACCCTGGTCAGCCTCTATATCCAACTTCAGGATGCGAAGTTCTGTCTTATTGCCGCTGGACTTTATGATGAAGCGATCTTTACTTCCATTCACTATAGGCTAAAAACAAGAGTTCATAAAAAGTTACATATAGCTAATTTAGGTGGATATTTGTTTTAGTGGGGAGGATATAAGGCATTAAGTACAATGCATTTTTTGCATGTCTGTCACCTCTCCTCCCTATCCTTATTGTGCTGATCCTGCATGTACTGAGAAGTCTTCCACTACATCCCCAGAGATCAAACATACACAGAACAAAAAATACAGCATGTTATAAAAAACAAAACAAAATCAAAACACTTCTTTCCTCAGCGCCTTCCGGCCAGCAGGTGACCCAAGCAGTGGGAAGCCAAGCCCAATACTTCTCTGAACAAAAATAAATAAATTAACCTGTATTTAAGATTTGCAGAGTGATTAAACACCAACTACTTCTTACTGTTTAATTATAGAGCTCCCAGGTCTCTTGGTGAGACTTGGAGAGATACTTAGCAGAAGTCAGGTAAGAAGACGAACCATAAACAAAAAACTGCATTTTTAGAAACTTATTGTGCACTATAGTGGTTACAGTATTTAGGGTGTTCATTTAAGTTTCATTTAGTGCCATCAACAAAACAATGTGAGCATTCTCTCTGAATCAACGGCATTTAAAATCCATCAGCCAGGATTTACCTACGGTTTAGATCACAGATTTCCTCAAATTAGCCTGCTGTACACAGTCGGATTACCATTAAATACCACAAGTATGTCTGATATGGCTTGCAGAATCCAGCTGATTAACAAGTGTGACTGGGTCACTTTGCAAGACTTCTAGGGATGCTTTCCTATGGGGAAAAATCTGATGCTGGAGGTCCTCATGTATAACGTGAGGATGTCAAGCATCAGATAACGGACCAAGAGTGTTAATATTCCGGAAGCGTCCCCAGTGGCTGTCTGGGCAGACTTAGTGCTGCAATATAAACATTGTCTACAGTGTCCATTTCATGTCCTTTTTCTCATTTAAAGTCTTTAAATTGTTATCTATGCCAAACTACATCTTTGTCCTAGTTTATTTTCGTAATTACCTCAGTCAATCTTTCCTTCTCAGCACACACTACCCATCAAATTTTTGTTACAAATTATATATGCTTATTCTCAAACCATAAGTTCCTCACACTACTACTGTTTGAGAATACCAAAATACATTTCCTGGCCGGTCATATCATGCCCACTTACATTTTAATAATCTGTTTGGTCAAACAAGGCTGTTGCGCCTTCATTAAGCCAATTAAAGGACCACTATAGGCACCCAGACCACTTCAGCTCAATGAAGTGGTGTGGGTGCTAGTTCACTCTAGTTTTAACCCGGCAGCTGAAAACATAACAGTTTCAGAGAAACTATGTTTACACTGAGTGTTAATCCAGCCTCTAGTTACTGTTTCATTGACAGCCACTAGAGGCCGCTTCCGCGATTTTCACTGTGAAAAATCACAGTGAGAAGACACCAACGTCCATAGGAAAGATGGAGTAATGCTTTCCTATGGGCGGATTGAATGCGCGCACAGCTCTTGCCACTCATTCAGCGCTGACGTCGGCAGGAGGAGGAGAGTTCCCAACACAAGGGAACCCGGCGCTGGAGAAAGGTAAGTGATTGGAAGGGTTTTAACCTCTTCAGTCCAGCGGGAGGGGGACACCTAAGAACTACATAGTGCCAGGAAAACAAGTTTGTTTTCCTGGCACTATATAGTGGTCCTTTAAGGACTGACGCAGTTGTACAAGTTGTGATCAAAACAAAACTTTGACTGAATTTGAGCTATATGTCTTTTCAGGCGTAATTCACCTCTTTTATATTATGTGCACACACTGATCATATATAATTTTGTTCAGGAGAAACAGGGCTTTCATGTCAAAGCAAACATTTGTATATTAAACCTAATTTAATATGAATAAAATATATATTTTTTTTTAAATTAAGAAATTTTTTATTTTTTTAGTTTTTCATGGCATTTTAACTGAATGACACAATTTTACTGTTAGCTGTTACTGCAATAACGTACACATTGTATTCAGCGATGTCTCACGAGTAAAACAGTACCCCCAATGTACAGGTTTTATGGGATTTTGGAAAGTTACAGGGTCAAATATTTACATTACATTTTTCAGTTTATACACACTGAAATTTGCCAGACTGGTTATGTTGCCTTTGAGACCAAATGGTAGCCCAGCAATGTAAGTTAGCCCCATGATGGCTAACCATTTGCAAAAGTAGACAACCCAAAGGTATTACAAATGGGGTATATGTCCAGTCTTTTTTAGTAGTCACTTTGTCACAAACATTGGCCAAATTTAGCCTACATATTTGTTGTGTGTTAAAAGTGCAAAAACCTAAATGGAACGCTAATTTTGGCCAGTGTTTATGGCGAAGTGACTACTAAAAAAATACTGGTAATGGTATGCCAGCATGGGGGTTATTCTCATTCCTGGGCTACCATACACTCTCAAAGGCAACATAACCACATGGGGAGGGGGCCGGATCAGGCAGAGGGGTCTTGCCTGAGCTCCCAGGCAGACCCCAGGATCGTGACCGCCGGCGACCGAATAAGTATGAAGGACGACTAGGACATTCTATGCTGCCGCGTTTCGGACTGCTCCAAAAAGGACGGCATAGAGCGCCCGCCACCCTTCAAATTGTTAAAGTGCTTTAAGTGTCTGGAGTCTCAAGTTTTGTTTTGTCTGTCATCTCAACAGAAAATTACTTTTTACAAATGGGGTCAGATGCATGCTTTTTGTTTTCTTTGGAAGTATGTTCGTATTTATATAGCAAAAACATTCAACAGTGCTTTAAAGTTATAGAAAGGGGATATTTAGAGGTGAAGAAAGCCTGCTCAAACAAACTTCTAGATTGACAGATGTCTTGTCTAAGGACACTTACTGGTGAGGTGGTCTGACTAAAAGAAATAAATGTAAATTATATATATGGAATGTTCCTTTAATACAAACCTCAATGCCTCCTTCAGTGACCAAGGACCATGCCCAGAGTTCCACAGGTGGGAATGAGCTACTTTTGCAAGTCAGTACTCCAGTATCCCCTTCATTACCATGCTCAGATTTTTTGTATGCGATAACATGAGGGGAGACTGAAAGATAAATAAGGAACATGAAAACCAAATTTAATGACCAAAAGCCTTGAAACCCATAAGGAGTAGTGATCATCTAAATACACATTTATTTCAGCTACAGGAATATGCTTTGTGTATTTGGCATCGCATTAGGTTTGTTCTTGTGAGATTAGCTGCTAATGAATGTTACAGCTTAGTGGGTTTACACAGTAGATTTAATATCAGTGAAATATTGGTTCTCAGGACTTACCAGTAACATTAATCACTTCACCGACTTCGGGAGTAGTCAAGAACTTGCAGGTATATTGCCCAGAGCTTTCTGCATTTACCTCTGAAACACTGAGATAAAAGTAGTAGAAAAGATTATAAACAAGACTACTTCCTTGATGTTTATTTTAATATAGTGTTGGTCTTTTGCAGCACTGTCGGCATTAGAGGAACAAAGGATTAGAAAGGCAATAGTGGATGCAACCAATGAACAGTCTGTTTTACCAACGCTGATCACAGTTGAGATGAGACAGGAATTTAGGTCACAGAAGGAAAAATAAATTAGTAAATGGCTAGTCTACCAAGAGAGGATGGGTGGATGTGTATCACGTCTTCTCTAAATCAGGCCACGCATTGTAGATGGGCAACAATATTTATGGAAGCTGACAATGCAGATAAGCTAGGGATTTCCAGGCCTAACTACAACATAATCAAAAAGTCAACAGGATACTTTTTAAGCTAGATTACAAATTTGTGAGTTATGTGCCTTATTTTAACACCATGGATAAATTGCTACCAACAGTTAAAATAGTAATATATAAAAAAAAAATAAAGACATGTGACTTCTGATTTATTGTGCAGATTTTCTTCTGGACCTGACCTGCCACATTTGAGTTTCAATTAAAAAAAGGAAGTGACTAGTGACGGTCACTTACATGAAATATTAAGTAGTACTAAGGCATAGTGTACGTTTATAACTACTGTATAAGAACTGTATAATTCCCCATAGTATAATACAACCCAGTATGTTATCAAGACTTACTTGTAAAACATAATTTGAGATGAGTCTTTGTCTTCCTGGACCACTTTGCTCCCCTTCAACCATTCATGACCAGAAATTGGCAGGGTTGGATCGGTCAGATTACAGCTTAGGATAACATACGTTCCTTCCACTATTTCTTCCGGAGAGTTTGTTATAATAATTGGAGCTGTAAGGAAGAAAAAACACAAGGTAACAATGAGAATAGTTCAGATAAATGCTTTTTACAGTCTAAAAATGGCAACCCTTTTGCACCCCAAAAGGATTATGGTCTATATTTATCCATGAGGATCAGCAAGCCATCTCGGGTGAGCTCCACATAAAGGTTAACAAGCAAAGTGCCTACAGTGAACCATCACCATCTATAATGTCAAAGCCAAAAACCATTTATATCCCAGAAGGCCCTTCTAACTGTACCTTAACTAGTCAAACTCATGTAATATTTAGTGTGGTGTATGGTTTAACTTTGCATAGTAATTAATTACAGTTTACTTACAGTGAAAGCAGATTTGAACTTTTAAATAACATTTTAAAAAAATATATAAAATAAAATAATTGAGTTTACTTTTAAAGCCAGATTACCACCACATTTTAAATGGAGTGAGGTTTTTCCAGTTTCCAATTTTGTTTTGTCGTCATTTCCCTATTTGGCAGTTGATGTCCTGACACTGCCTTCCAGATCTCTCCACATTATTTTGTAATAATCCTGGATTTTCTTCCCAGCAACTTTTTGGAAAAAAGTTCTGGACTTTGGTATAAAAAGTTTATTAAAGAGTAGAGAAAAATAAATAATACATCTACAGACTATAGAGAATGCCTGTATACTTCCTACTTAAAAAGCTCTCTAACTCACTTTCTTAATTTCTCAGACTATAAACCTATTCGACCAACTAGTCAGGCCCATTATAAAATGTTTCTTATGCAGGACATGATGCAAAATTTGAGAAGACCTTTTTAAGTAATTTAGAAAAGCAGATTTTACCCCCTTGGGGAGCAAGTTATTCTCAAAATAAAATAAAAATCAAACTTAAAAACCACTTAATAAAAAGATTTGAGAAATAAGATAAAGGCATCTGTTACCGATACTTTGATTCTGGAAGAACTTACAAGTTTCATAAATTCCTACAGATTGTGCTACCGAAAGGGAGGAGAGTCTAATCGGTTTTATATTTACTCCCAGGTGACAACCTTGAATCAAGTAAAGCAAAGTGAACAGCTGTTAAATAGCATCTGAGTGTACTGTATAACTCCTGTAGAGTCCTAAATCATTATGCTAAACAATCTATGACAACATGTGTTTGATCAGTATCACAACAAACACTGTGCAAGCACAGCTGGAACAGACGGGAAGCACAGGAGAGAATACATCAGTGTGGTTTGTGAAACAAGGGTAGCAAAACAAATGGAGGTAGATATAAGGGCAGGCTTGCAATGATTGGCGGTCTTATAAAACCATTACTGAGGGCAACAGAAGAAGCCTACCGGAATGATGAGGAAGAGAGCTTAGTTGACGAACCCCTGATAGTGGAGCAGGATGGTATCAAGGGAGAAAACCGTAGATTTGGATGTAAATGTGGAACAAGGAAGGAAAAGCGGAGGTGTAAGGATTTCACGCACTGGAGAGAAGGTAATTTTGCACAAAAAAAAAAAACTAGAATATTTCAACACTTACAGACCAAGGAACACAGAGCCAGTCTGTCTCAAGTCATAAGATGGGAATATTGTGGGGAAAGGTTGGTCTACACAGTAATATGGAAGAGAAAAAGGAAACTGAAGGGAATGGTGGTACTTCAGGAACAAGTTCTAGCAGAGATATTTTGAGGCAAATCAAGAGCAATGAGGAGAGTTCACAAGAGCATGGGGTTCAGTAATACCACTAGGAGGTTAACTGGAAAAGGAGGGATTGGATCTCCACGCATTTAATTTGTCACTCACGGTCTATGACAATCACATTGGCTTGGGATCGGATCCACTTGATGCGAGGGCTCTTCGTTAGATGGTTTCTGTCAGGATCGTTGCTGGCACGGCATTCGTATGTCCCTGAATCCTCTGGGCGAAGGTTCATTAGGTAGAGCGTGCTAGTAGCATGAAAGACGTAAGTGGCGTTCATTTGCACTCTGTCACCACGTGCACCGTCCCATAGCTGTGAAAAGCTCTCATTGCTATAATCTGGCTCAAACCACCATTGGATTTCTGGCATGGGGCACCCAATTGCCTCACAATGCAGCTCCACTGACCGCCCAGTCAGATTCACTTCAGAAAGTGGAGATTTAATGAACCCAGCTGTGGGGGGGAATAGGTGAAGGGTTCGATGGGAAGAAGAGCAAGATATGAGACTTGCTAAATTGATCTAAGTCAGCATAAACATACAAAAAACATTTGACAGGGAGTGAAAAACCAAGTTAAGTTACTGGAAGAATGGGGTCACTGGAAAATGTAACAATGGAGAAAAATTAAGTGCGCATTTTAAGCAATGTGTACAAATTAAAAATTAAAAGCCTATACAGCACTTCGATACTTTGACTGTAATCATTAGACAAAAGGTTACACTGGCTCATTGATGTGCAAACTAGACAGAGCAACTAAAAAGAAAAATGCTATAATTAACAGATTAGAATTCGAGTCAACAAATCAGGAACTTTGACATCCTTCAAGTAACAAAACAAGTTGAATACTATAGATCGCTTTAGATCTCCTTTTAAAATGTTGACGCGACCAGCGGCTCAAAAAGGTATTAAAGCAAATAAGTTGGCCACCCACTGATTTGTAGAAATAATATATAATAAATATAATGTAATAAAAAAATAAATAAAAAAAAAATTAAAAAAAAAAAACACACACACACACACACACACACACACACCACACACCTTCCAGGAACATTCTATATTAAGGCAGAGGTTCTCAACCTAGTCCTCAAGGACCCCCTACCAGTCCAGGATTTAGGGATTACCCATGTGTGTCTAAGGTGTTTATAAAAAGAAAAACACCTTAGACACACCCAGGTAATCCCTACATCCTGTACTGGTAGGGGGTCCTTGAGGACTGGGTTGAGAACCCCTGCATTAAGATGTATGGGAGAATCATAAACTAGTATATAATCTCAGTATAGCCACATCTAGCCTAAGAGAAAGTAATTCTTTATTTCTTTCACACAAATAATTATTTCATGATTGGGTTAACCCCCCCCTCCCCCCCCCCAAAAAAAAACCCCATCAAAGACTGCCCTAGTTGCAGAGTTTTAGTCCCATTATATTAGCAGGTCGATAAGACAGCAGGACACCTCAGAAATTGCCAGCCTCCAATGTGGAAACCAACCATTTCATCAGCAAATAATGGTAAAATTAGTTTTAGCAGACATTAGCTACCTAGGTTTTAAACAGACAAATGAAGTTCATAATGTTACTACAGAAAAGGGACACAAAAACACGTGCAAACAAAAATCATGACCACTGTTTTCAATGCCACCATAAAACTGCACATATGACTGCAATGCTCACTTTCCTACATTAACACAATCCCCGTTAAAAGGGTACTCCACCCACTTCTGCTTTTAGTAGTGGTCATGGTGCTTGCAATCCGTATGTGCAGCATTACAGCTTAAAACGCAGCACATTGAGAAAACTAATTTTGTGCCATGGGCTAGTTACTCCCTTGGTATGCATGACAAAAAGCCCTGAACTCCGTTTCAGACTGCATAATATCAATTCCGTGCAAAGATGGAGTCTGTCATCAGCACACTGGCAATGGACGCAATTAGATTCTTCACTTACAGGTACCATGTGAGCATTCCTGCAAGTAAAAGCCCATCCTGCTTCCAACCAGCGAGGTCCTTATCCACCCACCACCCTCTGAAAACCCCTTCCTCCCGTAGTGACTGGAAGAAGGGTGGGAGATTTAGTCCTGAGATGATCCATCACTCAGCTCATCCAGCCATTTGTGATTGCAAACAGCATTCACAAATAGGGTTCAGCGGTCCAAAAATGCTGCTCTATGAGAAGCTTTTAAATGGACTATGGACATGAAGAGAACAAGGCGTGATGTCAGAAAATGCAGGGTGACATGACCATAGAGGATTGAACCAGCACTGGATTCCAGCCTTCTATTGCAGTTTGTTTTTTTAAACATACACAGGCAAAATATAGCGTTTGAGTAACCCTTTACGGTTGTAAGAGTCTCATTACCAACAGAAATGAAAAAGTACAGGTCTATGCAGAGATTTAAGTGTCACATGGATATTCTATTTCTGTAATAGAACAGGATGCATTCCTGTGCAAACTGTTTTTTATAGGAAACAATATGGTCCTCTGTTTCCCCACAGGCTTACACAACATACAGTGCTTTTATGTTGCTCTACATAGAATACCTTGCAGAAATAAAAAAACGGGTATAAAAAAGGTCTATTATTGCATTTAAAGGAACACTATAGTCACATAAATTACTTTAGCTAAATAAAGCAGTTTTAGTGTATAGATCATTCCCCTGCGATTTCACTGCTCAATTCACTGCCATTTAGGAGTTAAATCACTTTGTTTGTTTATGCAGCCCTAGCCACACCTCCCCTGGCTATGATTGACAGAGTCTGCATGAAAAAAAAACAAAAAAACTGGTTCACTTTCAAACAGATGTAATTTACCTTAACTAATTGTATCTCAATCTCTAAATTGAACTTTAACCACATACAGGAGGCATTTGCAGGGTCTAGCAAGCTATTAACACAGCAGGGGATAAGAAAATCTTAATTAAACAGAACTTGCAATAAAGAAAGCCTAAATAGGGCTCTCTTTACAGGAAGTGTTTATGGAAGGCTGTGCAAGTCACATGCAGGGAGGTGTGACTAGGGTTCATAAACAAAGGGATTTAACTCCTAAATGGCAGAGGATTGAGCAGTGAGGCTGCAGGGGCATGTTCTATACACCAAAACTGCTTCATTAAACTAAAGTTGTAAGTGGGGGGAGGTTAGCTAAGGAGTAGTCTTAATTAGTACATACTCCCTGGAGTGGAATAAAGAGTTTCTTGAAAAAGGTAAAAAAAAAAAATACTATTTAAAACCCTGTTAAGATGAACCAATGCATACACTGTTCTGGGAGGTGCCAGAATGCCAACAAAGGTAACCATATAGGAGTCTACAATTTTAAGTCAATTTAACAGGACTGCAGTACTTCATGGGTGTTTCTTTATACCTTTAATATTTTACATTCAAGTGTTAAGATTCACTTTGATAATACCATGCAATGAGACCTATAGGTTTGCTCAAAATGCTATGTACCATTAAAAATATGACCACAAGCAGTAAAAAAATAAAATAAAAAATAAAATAAAAATAATTGCAAGATCACAGGGATTCAGACTTCAAAAAGAAGGAAGCCACATATATTCATGGACAAACTGATCTTTAAAATGTCAGATTGCTCATTTTAGTGCCAGTATTTAGTATCACAACCACTGACCTTTCTCTTTCGTCTACACTGGTTGGTGAAACAGCTTAAAAAAAAAAAAAAAAAAAGTAAAGCACTAATCAGCTGTTGACCTTTGTCAGGTTTACTAAGAAGGTCAAAAGCTGACCTTATAATGGGACTTAGAAAACATTTATGTTTTTATACCTCCACTTAGGACCAATTTCAGGAATGTGTTCTAAATACAGAAAGGCAAGATGTGAGAGTTTGACTAAAATAAGGAACACTTCTAATTCTCAGTCCTAATAAATTATTTTTAGGTTTTAGCTATTGCAGTGATATTCTGATGAGCTCTTACAGTCACAAAGCATGACCATTTCCTAAACTCCACAAGATAACTCTGCCATGACAGAATTTTTGACTAAAAACACTCATTTAACAGTCTGTCTCCCAGAAAAGTGAAAGCCTCTTAAAAGTGGCTTGGATCAGGCACATGTCAAATGCTTTGATGTGGTTCTGATAACTGGTACTGGGCATATATTCTTCTTAACAATGGTGCATTAGATCCACACAAACTTTTTTATCTATACCTGCATTTTAGGAGCGGTCTGGTTTCAACATCACAAACTTATGGAGACATGTGAAACAAATATCAAACTGCACACTTTTTTTGCTTTTACACACATTCAACTACGGTAGGACAAATGCCAATGTGCAGATTTAGAAAAAGATCACTTATATTTCACAAACCTGTCTCTTGCTTTCTCTTAAAGGGCTAAATTCCACTCACTTTCCTACAATGGTTTTTTTGGTTGCCATCTCCCCTGCCTAAATAAAAAGACTCAATAATTTGCATATTTAGGTAGATTTGCATAGTAGGACTTCTGTAGACCGGGGTGATATTTTGTGTTATTTTCTTACAATCCCCTTCATAAATATGTTATCAGTTCCTGTCCTGTAACAAGGTTCTGGGCTGCCTAAGTTACGTGCTCCAGGGGTGCAACTAGCTCCTGGAACAAAATTCTGAATGTGCAGCGAGTTCAAAAATCTGAAGTGGTCATGGTGGTTGGATCAACCATTCTCTTTAGTGTATGCAAGAAGATTGTAGCAGGCAAATATGACTTCACTTTTTGTTTGTCTTCACTGGTAGCCCCATGACTAACAAGTCTGCACTATAGACATGCTAGCAGCTGGACAAAAAGATATGACATGGTTTTAGGTTGTACTGGAATGCTGCAGGACCACTGCTTTAGACTTACAGTACTGCACGGCACCTAAAGCAACTTTTTTATTCTCTAGAAATCAGACTCTTGGTCTAGATATAGTTCATTGCATAGATTTTTTTTTTGTACAAAAGAATCTGAAGGGCATAAATAGAACACTAACATGGGGAGGGCATTAGTTACTTAGTGCAAAGTGAAGGTGACTTTGAGGTTTGCATACCATGGGACGGGTTTGACTGCTGTGGTTGGATAGTAGCATTGTACAGTCTTCCAGCAATTACAGGTTCAGTATCTGTGTATAAAGGACACTGTCAATAATTGTTCTTTTTACAGACATCTTCAGTTAAAAGGAACACTAAAATTTTGCAGATACAAACACTAATACCTAGTTAGATTATTGGGTAAAAAAAGGTAGGTTAAACTATTTACTTGCCTTTGATCTCAGCCATGACCAAAGGAAGCTTGGCATGGCTGGAGTAGTCTTGATCATCTCACAATCCAATGCTTCCCTATAATGATGCATTATGAGGCTTGTACATGTGTGGCAAAACACTGCACCTATTAACCTCTTAGTGACCATA